AGGGAACAACGGTCCCTTTGCAGCCAGGTGGGGTGATACACTCGGAGGGAAAGAAAACGGTTCCCAATCTCTGGAGGGAACCAAGGTGACCAGACTCAGAGACTAGTTTAGAAGTCCTCCCCCACCCTCCTCTCCTTCTGCCTCCCTCTCCACAATCTCGGGTTTAGGGCGGCTGGGGGGTGTGTTGGGGGGTGGGGAGCAAAAATAGGCTGCACGTGTACAGCCAAACTTCCTGTCTACAATGGCACTTCGCTGGCGATTATCGCGGAGATTCATCCCACGCTGACGTCCTGGGTTCTCCACTCCACCCCCACACCCGCCTCATTTTGCTGGCAGGCGACGGAGCCGAAACGTCCCCGACAGGGTAAGCCGGGTAGTTCTACCGGATTAATACACCCAATAAATCCCCTGGAGTACACAAAGCAATGTCCTACCCCTGGGCCTCAGCCTCACCCCACCCCCATCCCCGGAGCCGGGCCAATCGCCGGGCGGGCTGGGCTGGGCGCGCACTGTGGCCCTGGGTACCACCTCCTCCAGCGCCACCCCCGCCTCCCCGGCAGTCGCCGGAGGCCCGGTTGGTGCGAACGCCGGGTCCTGAGTAACCTCAGCTTCCTGTCTGCCTCCCGGCGCATCTCCTCCCTGGGGCTCCGGGAACCTGGGCTCTCCGAGGTTTAGCTCCAGATGGGGACTTCTCTGTCCTTCCTTCCCCACCTCCCACCCTTGCGGACGCCTTTCTTTGCGGCTGACCCTGACGGAGCCGAGGCCACACGTCTGCCTGCCTTTCTCCGCCCTCATAAAAGCACGCTGAAGGTGTCTCCGGGAGACACCTCCAGGTTTTGATTCAGCTCATTCCCTTTCACTGTTCAAAGCAGCTGTTCAAATACAGAGGCTGCTTACGTTGACGTGGAGAGGATTTCAAACAACCCTAAAATGCTTTGAACTGACAAGGTGTCTTGATGTCTCCCTCACTTCAGCACAACTCCCCGAGATCGCTGGCTAGGACAATGGCTGAGCCGGCGGTTCACGCGGGCCTCGCAGCCTCCGGGGCTTGACTGCGGGGTTCCCTGAGCCCCTTCTGCGAGAACAGGCTCCAGGCACCCAGAGAGGAGAGCCTGGCAACCGCACCAACCCATCCCCTTCCCCTGGGTCCCAGCACAGTCTCCACTCGGTGCGTATTCTGACCTGGGCTGGTCTGAAAAAGTGCTGCGGGCTTCTTCCCGAACCGCCTAAGGAGGAAACAACTCAGCGCATCCGAGCTAAACCAAAAAGACTGAGACTTATCTCCGCATTGTCAGACTCCTCGAACCGGGCCCGGGTCTTGGTAATGCCCAGCACCCTGACCCGAGATCCCCCGAAGTCTTCATCAGAGTAACAGTAATGGTATCAATCTACGCACTCTAACTTGAACTCAAATTTATTAACTGATTCATCTAGTAAACACACTCACACCACATGTAAAATATCGTTTATTTTATTTCTATATAACGAGGACTTTGCAAAAAAAAAATCACCATAATCACTCCCAGACATTGAGCTGAAAGGGCAGAGTTATTAAAATAGAGGTGAGATGGCATTCATTTGGTAGATCTTAATTCATTTCTTATTGATGCAAGTCTATGATAATAGAAATAAGGAAACAAAGGAAATTTTCTTAGGAGGTGGTAGCTGGTTTCAACTTGGGTAAAAGTGCCTATTGGGATTTTCTTTAAAATGTACCCACCTTGGAGGAGGATTCTGTGCCTCCCTTCTCTTCCTCCTCCACCTTCTCCTCCTCTTCCTCTTCCCCTTCTCCTCCCCCTCCCCCTCTTATTCCTCCCCCTCCCCTTCCTCCTTCCCCCCTCTTCCTCTTCCTCCTCCCTTGTCCCAGTCATTCTTTCCTGAGATCTGCTCTCCAGCTAGTCCCCAGAAGCTGTTTGATTTGGTGAAAACTCCCCTACATTTAAATGGAATTTTTTGCTAAGGGCCTACAGAATTTCAAAACTGAGGTTCCCACTTTAGAGCTGCAGCTTTAAGCAGCCAATCCACACAAAGAGGCAGCTGGCTGCTTTAATGAAAACCTCCTTAAAGCTTTAAGAACTGCAGACTTGGGGATGCATTTATAAGGAGCAAGAAAAATGCATTTCCAAGTTGTCAGTTCTTGTGAGAGACACAATAAACATTTACCTAAAAAAAGGACAGAAATTAATATCTTTAATTATGTAGCAGCACAATGTCTCCTCGATTAAAAAACCCCACATAGATTTATATGTTACTATCTATACATACATTTTACAAGTTTCTAAATGTGCATCTGTCTCCATGTCATAAACGGTCTTGAAGAAGGAAAAGTTTTCTGAAAGTTGAAACTCCCATTCTTCATATTCTTGGCAACTCTGTGTTTGTCCATGCCTCACAGACGGCTGA